GCTATGCACAGCCCACAGATTACAGCCTTCCGGAATTACCTCAACGGTGCCACCTGACACCGTCTCGACAGATCCTCTATGGGCCAACCTTAGTGAAGATCGTTGCAGACTTTTCCCATATTACAAAAGCACTGTCCCTGGGATTTGAACATGGGATCTTCCCATAACGTTTGGTGAGGGTGACAACTAGACCACTTCACTAAGTCGTCACACCTACTTTTCTTATTTTTACATAAATAGCTTGCTTCAACTCTTACTAATCCTGATCTTTTTTTTCATAAAATGACTTAAGGTATCATTTTACTTTTCTTATTTTTACACAAAAAGCTTGCTTCAACTCTTATTAATCCTGATTTTTTTTTATAAAATGAGTCAAGATATATTCAGAAAGATATATAAAAAGAGATTTAATCTATTTGACTTGTTTAAAAAAAGTTCAAGCTTCAGATCAAATTAAAAATTAAAACTTGATTTTAATTTTCTTTATTAGTTGTATTTTCAGAATATTTAACTAGTAACTACAAATATCGTAAATAAATTATAGTTGTTTCAAATAAGCATATATTCATATCTAATTATAAATTATTAATATTCAATAGTATTTTAATGTTAAAGATGATTGAAGATGTATATATATATACAATTTTTCTCATCTTCATGTATATATGCTTTAATCTCAAAATCTGGTAAACTCAAATAAGACAATATCGATACTGTGTTCAAAAGTTTATAATTAAGAATTTAGATGATGAATCAGTTAAGTAATTATCATAATAATAGGATTTTATTCTTGAAAAGCTTAGATTTCAATGTTTTATGAGTTATATAAAATAAAAACTTGAAATAAAGTTCTGCATTTTGGAAGTCAGTTATTAGAAAATCAAATCCATAAAACCTGTAAATCAAGTTTTGCATTTTGTAATCCAGGTCTTAGAAAATCGAACTTATATTGATATAACTAAATTCAAAAATCATGTATTACATAAAAATACTATTTTTGAAAATCTATTTGTATACTGCACCTGATAGCAATGCTTTTTTTAGAAAGTTATCATTAAGAATGATACTAAATCATTTTTTTTATGTGACTTATAGATTTATTGATTTTGTGGCATAACTATAAAACTAATTAACCAATCAAAATATATAGCCAATAAAATTGCGATTTGATAACTGTGAATTATATATAGATACAGTAATAGGATCTTCAGTACACACATACGTACGGGCAGTGATGAGTTTGGGACAGTTGGGATCTACATTGGGACATTTCGAATATTTTGGAACAATTTTATAAATTAAAATCACTCAAAATTTTATTAAAATAATCTTTAATTTTTTAAAAATAGATTCAGCATCTAAAAAAATATATAATTGTATATTTTTTAAATTAATTTATTAATTATTAAAACTTGGGACTTAGTTGGGCATTTTGGGATGTTGGGACGTAGCAAAAAAGCTTGGGACACTGTCCGAACCCATCACTGCGTACGGGATTTGATTTTATGCAAATCAGTATTTTATGACAAAAAAATTAATTACATAATTTAAGAAAATATTAAAATCATAAAGTATATTATACGGCATTTTCTATTTGTTGGATTTTGCATTTACCAACTGTTAGCCGGCATTTGACATTTTATGATTTTTATGCACATGAGTTACACACGTTATCCGAAATATTTTAAATCCGTTCCGGATTTAAAATATATTCGAACAACGTGTGTAACTCATATGCATAAAAATCATAAAATTTCAAATCCGGTCAACAGTTGGTATGCAAAATCCAATAAATATAAATGCCGAATAACCCAGTTATTCAAGCACGAAGTACTCATAACTACGGTACAATAGTTGTTCTAATACTAGTAAAGCGCTATCGCGCTTTACTAGTATTAGAACACTATTGTACCTTACCGTTATTTGCCATATGATTTGACTGGTCGAATTTTAAGCACCTTCGGTGCTTAAATCGACCAATCAAATAGCATACAGCAAATAACTCAGTTATTCGGCACTTCGTGCCGAATAACTATTACTTATATCAGTTGACATCACTATTATTAAAGTTTTAATCAAAGAAATTCAACCATTTATCACAAGATATCATTGATACCAGAAATTATTTCTTATTGATGAAATATTCCGAATTTTGGAAATCAATTTAGTCCGAAATACTAGCCTGTTTAGCATAAATATAGTAGTTCTATTTTTTTTTATGTTTTAGTCGACACCAAAAATTCTTGGAACAAGTGGTTTAATTTAAAATTTACTGCGCAATAAAGGAAAGTGCCGTGCCATGGTGACACTTGAGTTATTGTATCGGTTGCATCTGCCATAATGAAATTGACTAATTTAGAAAAAGTGAAAGAATTTTCTTAATTTCAAATCCCAGATTCAGTATATTAAATTATTTAAAAAACTCTATAAAAGATATCATGCCTACTAAATTGTAGAACTAGAAAACTCGGGGTTTTTTTTGTTTATTCATTAATAATAATAAACAAAAAAAAACAAGATTGAAAATTTATATATTTGGCAATATTGATTCAATCATGGGTTTCACATTTCAGGAGAAGCAGAGTATAAGATTCAAAAACAAAACATTTACCTTTTAAGGAATTTATGTTTTATATAAATGAATAAAATTGTAACACAAAAATCAAATGGAGATTTTCAAATCATTATAACAATGTTTTTACGATAAACATCATTGTCATAATGAAATGATTTACTATGCTATTAATTTAATATTTGGAAAATTAATATTATTTGAAGATCCTATATTATTAATTGTGATACAATAGAGAGTACTGTAATACATAAATTTTAAAACCGATAATCACTTGACTCTTTAATACAACGTAAGTACTACGTAAGAAAAAGGGAAAATAGCTTAATTAAAATTGAATATTAAATTTTAAAATATTCAATCTACTAACATATTAGGTGAATAAATCACTAACTTAGTAATAAATCGAAAAGTAATAGCAATAAAAATAGTTATTAATAAAGAATTAATTAATTAAAAAAAAAGTGATCGTTTTTTTTTTTTAGGAAATATATCTCCAATTAGGATGTCGATCGCACAAAATTTCATCGAATTTTGGTTCATCTTCCACCAATTTCGCAGCCTTTTCTTTAATCAACTCAGTATCTTTTAATTCACTTTCACTTAACTGAGCATTATGTTTGGCTAATGTGACTAAATCACGTCTCTTATTCTCATATTCCAAATGAAGCTTCATTAAAAAGCATAAAACAAATTGAACGACCGACATGCTCAAGCATATTATCATTCCATTTTTAAATGCAGGGGCTGCATCTTTTGTGAAAACTAGAAGTCCAACAACACTTCCAATATTGCCGATAGTAAAGAACGTTGCAATAGTTACATTGCGTTTATATTGACCGACTAATTTTGAATTTAAAGATATAATTAGATATTTTAATAAATTTTTAACAAATCTTTATAAACATATATAAAAAAAAATAATAATACTAACCAATATTGCCAGTAAGCCAACTTATAACTATTGGTTGTGAAGTAAATACGCCACATGCCATAAGTGTTGTGAAAAAGTAACGTAATCTAAATAAATTCGGATTAGTAGCTGATGTTCCTAACATCCCTGCGCTTCCTATGATTGCTAAGATATCTGCAATCATTATAATCAAAGCCCTAACTCGGTAATTATGATATTTATCTGCTATCCAGGAAAATATAAGCATCACAACAGTTGCAATCGCAAATGGTGGCACACACATTAATTGAGTAGTCACAGGATCATATCCGAGTTGATTCACTAAAGTCGGAAGGAAAATATTAAGAGCATTATTTGGAATTATTCCAGCGGTTGCAATTAAAACGTAACCGTAAACTCTGGGATCCGAAAATGCGCTTTTAGATTGAGATTTCATAACACTTTTATTTTTTTCGTCAACACCACCCTCTGGTTTAAGACGATCAACAGTGAAACTACGTTCATTAGGTGTGAGAAAACGTGCGTCTCCAGGACCTCTAGTGAGGAATACGGCAGCAATTATGGCAATAATAATAGTTGGGGCACCTTCGAGTAAAAATATTATTTGAAAATTTTTTAGTGGACCTCCTTTTATTTGAAGTATTCCGTATGCCTGTATTATTATTAGTAGAAATTAGTGACTTCAAATTATAATACATTCCAAAAGAGTTAAAAGATTTAGAACAAAATTTACAAGAAGGCTAGTGAAAGCACCACCGATGATAGCCAGAGCTAGAAACACGCCATATCTCGTGGTCAACTCTTTTCTGGAATAATATAAACTTATATAATCTATACAAGCAGGAGAAAAACCAGCTTCAGCTGCACCTGTAATAATAATGAAAAATTTAATAACATTTCGATAATAATTATAATCAATTATATAAACTAACCTAAAAGAAATCTAACAATGCCTAATTGAACTGATGTAGTAACTGCAGCTTGACACATAGATAAAGCAGCCCAAATTGTCATTATAATCGGAATCCAAACTTGAAATCCCAAAACTTTTGATACAAGACTTGAAAGGATTTCGAATAAGACAAAACCAAAAAGATGTGCAGATACGGCAAGATTAAATTCAATTGGTGAAGATTTTAAGTATACATTATTGAAGCCTGCTGGAAGAACGCTCGATATATTTGACTTATCGATTGTCATGAACAAGTAGATTAAAACGATTATCGCTAGTTAAATGATTTTTTTTTTTTTTTAAATTAGTAAAGGATAATAAAGAATTTAGAAACAAATGAATACTACATAAATTTATTATTATAATTAAGCTAAAAACATACGTAATACATAAATATCAAATTTCCTAATAACCCTCCTCTCCATAGATTTAAAGCTACAACCGTCATAGCTTGATATTTCATGATCAATATCTTTTACTATCTCATGAATACCCTTTGTTTCGGTTTTTTCTTCGAGCGACATTTTTTAAAATGAATAAAAAATTGTCTTTCGATTACCTTATAATAAAGATTTTATTTAATTATATGAATATATTTTTATGCTTATACTTAATTATATCGAGACCATCATTTTAATACCTTGAAAGAAAGACAAAATTTTCTGAAAGGAAGGACAATATGTTTGTACATTTAATAAAATTTTTTTTTCATGAAAAGTTTCTTTGTAACACTTGTTCTCAATTTCCCATGATACCATAATAAACCACAAATTATAAACAGTACGATCTAATCAGTAAGACAGATTGAATACTAAGGAAATTTTCTTTCAAAACATGCATCTCGTTCGAATTGAGTTAGTCTGGTATTGTTATGTTGGACAAGCAAAAATTTATACAGTATCACGATTAATCGACGATATTATTGAAGATCGATTGCATATTCGGGTACTAGTACATATTTAGAAGCCGCATATACTTATCAAAATAAAGCATATTTAATAATATATAATAGAGAAAGTAAATTTAGCAATAGTAGCATACTTGGCAGAATCATTATCTGAAAGCAATAGAATATTTAGCATATTTATCCAATGTAGCACAGTTAGCAGAAATGTAAATAATATATGGGGTCTTTGCCTTGAAAATGACCTTACGGTACATGATAACGTAAGGTAATTTTCAAACTTAATATAAAGATCTGTTTAATTGCTCTGCCAAATCGACACGTCTCTTTTGAGTATCGTTACGCGAACGTCCCGAATTTAACATATGGATAGGATTTTGAAGACATATTCCTTGCATAGAGACAACAGTACTTAAATTTACGATGAATCTTTAAGAGTAAATTTGAGAACTAACACATAGAATGCAATAATCCATTCACAATTATTTTTTTTAGTATTTATTTAATTTGTGAATTTTAATTGTTTGGGTATTTGATAGCTACTAGGGATCTGTAACCAGGGCTCGTGCCGTGCCCAAAAAATATTCAGGCATAGGCATAGACACTGGAACAAAAATTTGTATAGGCATTAGCACGGGCACAAAAACTTGTCATAGGCGTGGGCGCAGGCACAAAAATTTGGTATTTATTATTTAATTGTGCCTGTCACTTTGCCCGCTCGGCACTTTGTGCCTATCACATTGCGCCGTACACATAATAATGCCTGACATTTGTGCCCATGCTCATAATAATTTCCGGTATTCTTGTGACTATATGCATAGACACAGCATGAGGCACTAGTGCCTGGCGCCAATATGGGATGTTCTATAAAATAGGCGGGAAACTCCGCTTAGCTCCGCCAAATATTACATATTGCCCACCTATTCTATAGAACATCCCAATATGCCTGATATGCACATTTGCAGATCCTTAATAGTTATTCAATAGGAACTTGAAAGATCTCCTTTTTTTAGAAAATAAATTTGTACTAACAAAAAGCTCCTTGCAATAAGTTTGGCATAACTAAGTCTTAAGGTTGCTATTTCTCAAAACCACAACGTGAAATTTATATATAAATTTTTGATACAAATACAGTACATTATACTGTATATTACATAATAACAATATTATTATTGTATTTATAAAGTATTATATCTCGAATTACAATTAAGCCAATGTTTGTACAATCGGGCTTTAGCATTACACTATAAATGAATTTATTCATAATTAACGATATAAATTTAATTAAATTTAAAATCAAAATAATTTAAATTACAAAAATATTATTGTCCAGTAATTATTATAATTAAGTTTAGAATTATATAAGCGAAAAATTTATTGCAGTAATTTAATATTAAATTTTATCAATGATATCGATTGAAACAATGAATCTATTTCGAACTTGTTTTATTAATATGATTGGTGAATCAACTTCTACAAATTTATCTTTAAATATGTTAAACCAACTATTTCAACTGATACGTCCCAAAAAAGTAAAATAAAACACTCATTAGGGATTATTATGTGACAAGTAATGTTACTAGTGATCGTAGTGTAACTTGTAATTGTTAATACTTGCCCCGTATTTCTATCATCTTGTACGTATGTTACACTTATAAATAAGCAAAAATTATTAATAATTTATTTTAAAATATTTGTTTTTATATTAACTAAATTATTAATTGTTTGCATCGCTATTTAAACCATTGTTACATGCTTGTTTCTCTTATAATGTTAATATATGGGATTCTAAATAATAGCTACAAAAAAAAAAATTCTCAGTTAAAATACTTATCGATTTAGTTGGATCGACGATCTGCCTAATTTTTTTTTTTTTTTGGATTCCGTGAGTCCTGTGATTATAATGAGGGTATCACTTCATCTTCATTATATTTTGTGGGACTCATTTTAGAATTACCTTTTTTTGATAAATAAATTTTTTTAAAAAAATACGACGGGCATAAAGTAGTTATTTATTTTGTATTCACGGACTCACGGAACTCAAAAACATTATGCAGATCGTTAATCCAACCAAATCGAAAAGGTGATAAAATGTCAACATGCCATAAGGCTACACAAAGTTGATTTTTCGTTTTGCATTACATGGATTTCAAAATCTCCGTTCGGTCGGTCGGATTTTTTTTTTAATCTACAGCATATTTATGACTTCATGTTCACATTTAAGGCCATGCAAAGTAATTTTTCGTTTTACATAACATGAAATCAGAAAATTGGGTTGGCATTCGAATTATTATTATTATTTTTTATCAATTCTATCGGATAATTCCGGAGAATAAGGTCTCTACTGGGTGATACCGGAATAATTTATGGAAAAAATTATTGCCAAAAATAGAATAATTGGCACAATTGGTTTAAAAAATTGAAAAAATGGGTCGGCATGTAATGCAAAACGAAAAATAAACTTTGCGTGGCCTAATGCAATAAATTAACTATAGTCTAAATTTAGCAAATATACATAAATTAATTCTTTCATTCTCTAATACATTAGGACGAAAAATAGAAATCATTCAATCCTGATAAATGGATTATTAAATATTACACAATTTCAGAATTTATTATAATATCGCATTTGTCACACCATCTTCGAGAAATCTTATTTAGGATATTCTGTGATGGATTATTAAATCCTGTACGCATACAAATAATGCAAGGTGCATAACACTAAATCACAATTGGCATGATTTTTTCAATTATCATTTTCGAAATTTATTCTAACCAACGAACTTTAAATCTGAATAATACTATTCTAAACTGGCCTAATGCTGCTACCAAGTGTGTCGACTTTAAATCTTCAAATATCCGAAGACATAAATTAGTGCTCAATAGGGATTTTTTAAAATGATAATTTCTATAAATTGTAATTCAATTTTCTAAGTGAAAGACATTTAGTAAATAATAGAACAATCATCATTGGGCATTGGTTATATATGAGTGACTATGATAGTATCGCTTTTAACATAATTAAATAATGCAAATCTGATCATCTGCAATTTGAATGTGAAAAGAAAATCAAGTACGTACGCACGTGCATGTAAATTGGATTGTCAAAAACGGAAAGAATTAATTTTTTATCACTCTTTTCTATTTAGTTGGATCGATGAATTTTGCAGAAATTTTTTTTTTTTGTCCGTGAGTCCCAAGAATCTGCAAGTCTCATATATGCATATGTCTGGATACATTAATTGTGGGGTTGATGCTGAAAATGGATTATGCTGAAAACTGGGGTCCATTTTTAAATCTATAAAACCTACTAAAATTCACATATAGTTAATAAAATATGAAAAATTTTCAGCATAGTCCATTTTCAGCATTAGCCCCATAATAATTGTAACTGTTAGTTGTTTACTATCACAGCACAAATAACTATTATACTGGATATATGTATATGAGGCTCTCGGATTCACGGATCCCGGACAAAAAAAAAAACTGCAACATTCATTAGTTTTACAGATCTAGAATAACGATGTATGCGGCTCCGCCTTCAGCTCATTTAGCCGACATCACACCAAGTGACAATTTACTAAGAGTCGCAACTGATAAAATGCTAACCTTAACCCTATGTGAAATCGGCTAAATGAATTGCCGGTATGAATGTCAATATTTTTCTCACACTTTGATTGGTCAACATGTGTCAATCAACAATCTAGAGATGTTGACTAATGTATTACCTAATGCTCGATAAAATAGTATCTAATTAAAACTAGATATAATTATATACTGTTAAACTATTCTCGTTTCAGTGTATTTCTATAAATGGACATCCATAATTTACGTTAAACCAGTACAATATTGTGTAAAAATAGAGACTTTGAAGATAATTCCATAAAGTATTATTTTTTGTATTATCTTTAAGATCCCTATAACAATGCTGGTTTAACGTAAATTATGGACGTCCGCTAACAGATACCAAAATGTTTCGTCAAAAAATTGTAAGGTTTGTAGATCATGAGAAAACAGTGATAAATTTATAAAAAATAAATTTTTCACCGAATTCGAGAGTTTCATAAAGACCTTTTAGTTATAACACTCCAATTTACAGATGGTTTATATTATACAGTAGCTAAGACATTCTTTTTCTAAACCTATAAACCATCAATCAACCTTAATTATTTTGGGTCTTATTTTAGTTCTTATTTTAATAATAATAGACAAGGTTCATTATATCAATAATGTTATCATCAAAATATTTTATAATATTCAAAATTTCAGCGAGGGCACAGGATCCCTCTCAAGATATTTACGAAGGTAAATTAAGTGTTAATAAAGTCATACAATATTTTTACCAATAATCATTTTATTTACATTGCGATTTTGGTAGAGGATCCTGCAGGATTTTTAAGTGTAGTCATCGTTGGATATACTTCCATAAATTTCTCCTTAATCGGAACATTGTTTGTAATTAGTAGAGTTTATTACAGATGGAGAAATACAAATAAAGTTTTGTCTATGGCCCTTAGAGTACCTTTTTATATGTGCACGTTCGGTAAGCATTTATGTACTAAAATTTTTACGCAAAATGATTCTATTATTTGCTGTATATGCTTTTCCCTCGTGTGATTTCCCTCGTATGATTTCCCTTGTGTGATTTCCCTTGTGTGATTTCTCTTGTGTGATTTATATAATTTCCTTATTATAGATTTTGCTTTGGTAATTTGTCAGTTTATTAATTTTGTAAGTTATTATATAATTTAATTAAAATGCACTTATGACATATCAATGCTTGAGCTTTTTTAAGTTTGTAATTAGACTTATCTTGCGATAAATCGTACTACGTTGTCTGATCCAGCCTGTGCACAAATTGGCTTTGTACAAGCTACTATTACTTTTTATCATAGATTAGTTATTGCTTGCATTTCCATAAATACTTATTGCAGGTAAATATTTAATAAAATTTTATAAGATATGTATGATCAATGAATATATTAAGTGGATCCCTTAATCATTTTTTTTTTTAGAGTATGTAGAGAAAAAAATTTTAATACTGGTAGATATGATTGGAAAATATTTATACCGACGGCAATTATCTCAGGAGTTGTTTCATTTCTTGATATGAAAAATTATGGTCGTGATAGATATTGGTATAAATCATTTATCTAGTTTTACATAATATAGTCCCATTTGATTTTATTTTTTTAACAACATATTATTAATAAATTGATGATTTAAATTTCAATTTTTTAATAGGTGTGCCGTAAAATCTGATAGATCTAAAAATTTATTTATTCCACTTACTTCCACTTTGATAACATTACTTGTGCTTTCTGTGTGTTTATTTTGTTATATCGAAACTATTCGTGCCATACGCTTCGTTAGAGAGCAACAAGAAACAGTTATTGCTAGTATAGGTATAATAACTCTTCAGTGTCTCCAATAGAAGAAATGGAAAGAAAAGTTAGTAAAAAAGTTTTGGGGTACATACTTGTTTTTATATTACAATGGGTAGGTGTAAAGATGGGAAAAATGCGCATTTTTAACATGCGCATGAATGTGCATTAATGCGCACGTTATATAAAATGCGCATGATATCGCATGATATAATTTTTTTTGAATTTATATTTTTCCTCCAGAAAATACCGGATATTTGCCAAAGTTTTTCCCCGATAGTTATTTAACCAAAGAGAATAAATATCTTGAGATTGACTTTAGTCATCCTCAATAGTAATTGTTTTAAATATTCTTATATGTAATTTTTTATTTGGCAATCTTATATGTAAATTTACTTTAGTCATGATTATTAATAAGGTTGAAAAAAATAGGTAACAAGTAACAATAATAGTATAATATAAGCTGGTTAAGATTCTTTTTAATATCTAATATGCCAAATATTTTGATTTTGGTTATATGTAAACTTTTATATGTTGTCATATATTTAATGATTGTTTTTATATAACAATATCAAGAAAAAGAACTTCATCAGGAAATTTTTTTATTGCAGTTCTGCACAGATTTGCAAAGAAATTAAATAATAAATCAAATGAAAATCTTTGCAAAACTTCAAATTTGTTACTATAAATGCAGAAATTGATGGAGTTCTGTGCAAAACTTCAAATTCTAAAAAATTTTGCAGATTTTTTACAACAATTCTTCAAAAATCTGCAAAAATACAGAGTTTTGCAAATTTGCACTTATTTAATTCTCCCGATGTTATCTGCAGTTACTGTAGTCAACTCTGTACTAGCTGATAAAATCAACTTAGTATTTGGTGAAAGTATTATAAGATTATCACTGAGGCGGTCCAGGGTGAATATGCAAAATCTATTACAAAATTTACTTATATCTCTGATGTGGTAAATTAGGTTGTATTTAAATTATTATAATTTTCATTATGAGTTACTATAAAAGATCGTGTTAAAGAATTCACTATTATAGTGAAAAATAGTACAGTCAAGATCAGGTTAATTTTGTATTAGAATTTTTATGATTTCATTATGAATTACTATAAAAAATTTCTTTGCTAAACCTACTATTTTAGTAATATATAGTATAAAGTTTACTTTTGCAAACTATTAACTTTATCTATATCCCAATTAGTATAGTAAAGATATGTAAGTTCACATAATACACAAATATAAATCAAAAATTTAAACCTCTAAGTTAGAAATGCGATCAATAAACTATTAGTTAATATAAATAAACTGTAGTTTATTGTAAAACTATAGTTTTAAAATAAACTACAGTTTATTTCTATGTACTGTAATTCACAGTTTACATATCTACTCCGAGTAAAGCAAATTATAAAGTTAACATAATCACATATATATTATAACTAAATATTGTAAATTTGTCTTTTTAGTTATCTGAAAAACAAATATTATAATTATGTTTTAGATTATATTTTTTAGATTTGATCCAATCAAAACATTAAAACCTACAAACTTTTTTCAAATACTATTCTTCCTCAACATCAGCCTTTCCCAACACCTCTTTTCCCAACATTACTCTTCTCTGATATTTCTGATATTCTCTGATACAACACCGCCACTTTTTTGACACACTTTCAACCATTTTCTCTATAATCATTTCAACAACTACTACTTTTTAAATATTAATAAAAATAAATTTTAAATTAAAAAAGTTTTTATTAAAAAAAATTAATTAAATAAAACATTAAATACTGTAAATACAAAAAAACCATTAAATTGAAAAATAAATTTTAAATTAAAAAACTTTAGATTAAAAAAAAATTTTAGATTACAAAAACAAAATTAATTAAATAAAACATTAAATACTATAAATAAAAAAAGCTTATTAAATTAAACAAATAAAACTACAAAAATTTTTCTGGTGAATCAAACTTTAAGTTTGCATATAATATAAGTTTGACTCAAAGTTATGACATAAAATTGAGTTAAAAACTTACATTATATATAATTTTAAAATTTAATTAGCCAGCAAAATTTATTTATTATTCATTTTTTAAATAATTTGTTTAAATTTGGCTTTAATAAATTATTTATTTTACTATTTTTTTAATATAGAAATTAGAATAGTTGTAAAAATAGTTGGAAGAGATTGTTATAGAAAGAGAGATTGTTAGAGAAAGTGAGACTATTATAGAAAAGAGGTTGTCAAGGAAAGGGAGACTGTTATCAAAAGAGAAGTTGTTGGGGAAAGGGATGTTGTCAAAGATATATAATAGTTGAAAAAGTGGTAAACTATGTTTAGAAAGAAATAGTTGTCAGAGAAAGAGTAGTTGTTAAGGATGTAATAATAATTAATTGCTATGTAATTATTAAAGAAGTAATTTCTTGTAACAAGTTTGTTTTAAAAATAGTTTTTTGTTTAAAAAATAATAGTTGCTAAAAAATAGATGTATTGGTGTTAAAAAATTTTGAAATACTTTCAGACTTTTAGGTTTTAATTTTGGTGTAATTTTATAGAGGATAATTTGATATATAGTTAACTAATAAAAAATATGATAATAACTATAAAGCAATTGTGCCTATATAAGGGTATAAATAATATGAAAAAAGTTGATAAAAATAAAAATATAATTATATTAAGGTTGTAACTATAGAGAAGGTAACTTTGGAGAGTTAACTATATTCAAATTTGGATTTTAATAAATAAATAGATAAAGAAATAAAGATTTGAAATTTTAATCTTAAGTACACAAATATATGCATAATATACACAAAGTAAATTTATTTTATTCTGACTATTTTTTGGACAATAACTACAATAATTGTATAAATATTTTTATAAGAGTAAAGCAAAAAAAACTATATACACTAAACATATTAATTTTATAATATTGTTATTTAAATAAAGTCACTTCATGCTTCTATTGTAGAGGCGGACACTTAGTTGATGAATGCCCTCATGTTATACTTGCCTTGAAATCTAATTAGCAGCATTCTTTGTAAATTTAGCTAATTAAATAAATAGCTATATAAATAACCAATAATAAAATACTGAAATATATTTTTTAATTTTTATTTTACTTGAAATTTGAAGAAAAAATATTTAAATTTTACTTTTTTGATTAAAATTTAACTTACATTTACTTTCTTATTAATAATATTTACTGCATTATATCTATTAAAGTTTTTTGATAAAGAATTGGACACCAAGAAAAACATCTATATCAAACAGATTTAAAATATTTCAATACAAAAAAAGAATATTCTTTTAAACTTTGTAGAAAGAAGACATGATAATAAATTCATATTATCTTTTAAAAAAGAAATTTATATAATATACTTAGAAAATTTTCTAGCTTATTACTACCAATAGACACTTAGCTCTAAAAAAATCAAATAAAGGTAGATTATTAATAATATATATATTTTTTGTTATATAATAATAAGTATATATTATTACTTAATATTTCTGCTTGTGATATTTTATTTTTTCTAATTTATAATAGTAAATTTCTAGTATAAATATTTAATTTATCTGCTTTGCAATAGTAATAAAAATATTTATATTTTAAATTTAATTTTTCTAATATTTCTTTCAACTTGCAATATAATTTAGACATATAGTATTTTAAAATACTTTCAAAAATATTAAAAAAATTTGCTATGCTATTTGTTATAAATTTTCAATAATTTAGATATTTATATATATTCACATCCCAAAGACTAATTGCTGAGAAGATAAGACTAAAATTAAAGATAGCATAGGTAGCCAATAGTGAATTAAAATATATTTAAAGCCTGAGTTTTCAGCTTAGTAAAATTTTCTCAAAAAATATCTTAGACTATAATCAGGAGAACATTTGATATCTTAGTTATAGAGTTTGTAAAATAAGGCTCATAGAATTTTTGGCTATCTTTGAATATGTACTTTACTATTATGAGAAGGTAGAACATATTTTTGCTTACAAAGAGCTTGTATATCTCATACTTTTGAATTTTCCAAATCTAATTGAAACCAGACTGCTAGTTGCCTAACGAAATATGTCTAGAAGAAAGTTAAGGCAGAATGGAGTTAAAAAGACACATATTTGTGTGAGAAAATAACTGATGACAATGGAGTGTGTTGTTTTAAAATATTATATTACAAAAGACCAGACATTATACATTGTATTTAACAAGATAGCAAGGTACTTGATTGTTGCTACCACAATTTTGAATTTGCTAGAATAGTTTGCTACTATTCTTTTGCAGCTGCAGTTTACCTGTCTCTTGCTCAACTTGATTCTGTTTACTTTCCAAAATGCTGGCAAAAGGACCTACCCAAGTTGGAGCTTACAAAAGAATATGTCAATTTTTATAGCTGTATACAAACACAAGATCCAGGAACTTTAATATTATATGAATTATGTGGTGAAGATGACTCTTGAATCTAGTATATACATATTTATTGACTATCAGGAGAAAATTGCAAGTTAGATTGCAATAGACCTTAATAAATATGCAGATTTTTTGCATTGTATCTTGAGAAGTATTTAGAAGAATTATATATAGGGTTGGTCAAATAACTGATCAACCAAAAATTCATTGGTCAAACTAGTCTGGTCAAATTGGTCAATGGTCTGGTCAAATTGGTCAAATGGTCTAGTTTATTAAATAAATAAATTTAGTAAACAAAATTAAATATATAAATAAATATATATACATAAATATACTATATATTTAAATGTTTTTTGACCAATTTGACCAATACTAAATACTTTGACCTAACTGGTCAAATTGGTCAAACTGTCTAGTCAAGCTTGACTATTGACCAGTCTGTGCCAACCCTGATTATATATCATTGATGATGGTCTTGTTTCAAATACTTTAGCATTTTTAGAACTTCTGTTAATCAGCAACTCTATAAAGAGTAAGGCTATTTGGTGAACAAAAAAGGAAGAATTAGATTTGAAATGGAAAAGAAAAAAAATAAAAAATAAAAAAATATGTCTCCTGTAAAAAAAAATAAGGTAGATTTAAAAAAAATCCTGAAATAGTCCTGACCCAAAAATGTGTTCATAGTAATATTACCTAAAAGTAAATTTTTTTTTTTATATCATAATTTTTATTTTGGTTAATTTTTTAACTCTGAATATTTCTTTTATTATTATTAAGCATGATGGGTTACAAATAAAAGAAGTAAAAGTTTGGAATTATGTCATCAAATTATATATTAGTTAATTAGTTAGTTTATTCTTTTTACTGAATATTTTTTTTATTATTATTGTATTGTATTTTTATTTTATTATATATAATAAACCTCTTTTGATAATTAAGTTTAATCTGTTAAGTAATAACCTAATCTAGGTTAAGTATTTTATATTATATCATATATACAAAAGTTATAAATCCTGAATTAATTGAACTATTAGAACTAAATTGAATTAATAGGGAGTTTCAAAGTTAACAAATAAGTGATGCATTTCGAAAATAAATTAGATTTTAATAGTATTTTTACTTTGTTGAATTATAAATTGGAAAAATAAAATGAGATTCTCTGATTTTAACTTTGAAACCCCCTAATATCTATAATTGTTCTCTTAGCTAATGGTCTCACTAGGGCTGTTATAGATCAATTGAAATAATTTTGTCAAAAAGCTATAGACTTATCCCTTAATTGGTAAAGATTTGCAGGCAAATTTGTCTGCGTAATTACTATAAATATGTCTTTGATTTGTTTTGTTTTTTTTTTTTTTTTTTTTTTTTGAGTTTAGGAGACCTCTTTTGCCTGAAAGCTTTTTTTAGGGTTTTAAACGGTGTTTTATACGCAATTACAATGATGGGACATCAAGCCCCCCCTGTACCTTTTGCGTGCC